AGCAATGAATTATAAAAATTTGTTTATAATCGTTTAGAATTTTGGGTTGATTTTACTCTTCCATTCAATAAATCTCATTAAAATGTGAAAGCTGCACTCATTATTTTTTCTTCCTCCCTCCCCCAAGTATACTAATGTGTATCCGTTTTTTTTTTTTTTTTTTTTTGTTTGGTGGGGGTAATGGAAGGAAGGTAACAAATCATTGATTGACATTCGTTTAGAAATTTGCGTTAATTTTGCTCACATCACAAATGAAATCTTATTAAGATAAATCAATACTCTTGCACAAGATTCAAGATTACGATTCAAGATACTTTATTTCTCCAATCGTGCAAAATATAAACTAACATTATCAATTGCTCCTGTTTGTTGTACTTTCATATTACTCATTATCAGCGCCCAAAATACACGGGGCGATGGGCAATTCGCCCCCGTGAGCTCCATAATCGCCCCCGTCAGGTTGCCCACGGGGGCGATTGCAAAATTAAAAGTCACCCCCGTGGAATTATAAAATAAAGATTATCTTTTCTTATATAACTTTAACACAAAATGAGTTCCAATTTTCAAACCTTAAACCAATGAAATGGAACTTAGATGGCGCTTTCTCTCCCATCTCTATGTATTACCGATACAAACAACGAGAGCTCGCAGTGCAGCTAATGCGGCCGTCAGCAGCCGGTAGTACCGATGTGCACGCTGACGCCCAATATCTGCTGGAGCTGGAGACGATAGCGCAAGGACTGAAACATGAAGAAGTTTTTTGTTGTGAAAAGAATTCTCTGAAAATATGGTTGTTCTAAAAGAACAACAAATAATGTAACGCGACCCATAAATAAATATTGAGAAGAAGATCAGCAAAGATGTTGCAGGGACGTTTCGTTGTACCGTTCTTGAAAAATAATCCTCGTCTGAATTCATTTACCCCCCCCCCCGTCCGCGCAAAGCGCGGAAGCTTTGAAGTTTCATTAAATCAGTAGAGAAAGAAGACGAACATATGAAAATAATATTTTGCCTTGATTAAGAAAAATTGAAAATTGTATCAGTGTTAAATAGGGAGAAGGAAAGGGGAAGAAATTAATCAAAACAAACATTGAAGAATCCAATTCAGTGTTCTTTCGTGATGCATAAGAATGAAAGTACATACAAAGGTGAAATAATAAATTGAAGAGCGATGATTAATCAATTCTTTGACGTTGATTGATTGAATAAAAAATAATGAAACAATATGGTCTGAGGGTCATATATCTTCGAATATTAGAAAGTTTCATCCACCATCTTGTTGTTGAACACTATTTGCAATTTAATTTTAATGCGGTGATATGTCGGTTACGAGCAGAAGGTCATTTCACGCTTCTATATTCTATAATACTATCAACAGATATCTGGATATAGACACTTCAAGCTACGAGTCAGAAAGCAAATCATCATCTCACAGAACAGAAGCGGATCTAGAGGGGGGGTTGGGGGGGGGGGGGGGGGTTGCAACCCCCCCAAAAAAAATCCGGGGACCATTTTTTTAAATCTTATCTTTTTTTTAAAACTTGTAATTTTATTTTATTCTATTTCTATGTATTTATTTCATTTATTATTATTATTATTATTATTATTATTATTATTATTATTATTATATTATTATTATTATTATTATTATTATTATTATTATTATTTCTTTTTGGGGGGAGGGGGGGGGGGGGGGTTGGGCGAACAAATGTCACGGGCCACCGCCGAAGTGACAAGCTAGGCCAGCGTTGCCGATTCTCATCCCCAAAATCCCCACATTAAAAAAAAAAAAAAAAAAAAAAAAAGGAAAAAAAAAAAAAAAAAAAAAGAAAGAAAAAAGAACGCACGCTGGAGAGAAACCCTTTCAAGTGCAAATATTGTGAGAAGATATTCAACTCATCTGGTAACTTAACCAAACACATGATAACTCAGGATATAACTGTGTATTTAACTGTTACTTGATTTAAAAAGACGTTATCATGCACTGCTTTTTATGGTCTCCATTGTGTTAATAGATGCCAGGAAAACATCACTTACGGGGTTCAAATAAACACCCCAAAAAAATCGGCTCGCCGCTTCGCGGCTCGTGGACGATGCTCCGCATCGTCATTATTGGTCAACCCCCCCCTGAGCAAAAAGCTAGATCCGCCCCTGCAGAATTCTACTCGAACACCGCATCGAAACTCTTTTCACCCTTTTTTTCTTCTTCCTCTTTTTTGGTCCCTTTTAGCTCTTGTTGGCGGGGAAATTGCAACTGATAGCCCACTTCTTTTCTTTACTTCTTCCTTAATTTTCCTTCCCTCTATCTCCTCTTCAGTGACTGGTCCCTCAGAAACTAGTGCTAAGCCAGTCACAGAGAATTCATGATTTCAACTGATGCCTGTTAGTGCATTGTAAATTTGATTTTTCTTCACATTTCATTTAAAAATCTTTTCATATTTGATAAATATGGTGCATTGGCATATGGGCTATGGTTGGAGCGTTGGATGCGTTGAACAGCGTTGGTGTATTATGTGGATTTATCATATTCATATTCTGAATATTTTCAGCGAATTGAATAATAATGAAAAGGATGCAATTCATGGTTGTACTCGATAATTCTCACTAAACATATTCTCTCTCTCTCTCTCTCTCTCTCTCTCTCTCTCTCTCTCTCCCTGTCTTGCATAAAGAAAATATGAAAATAATATTTTGCCTTGATTAAGAACAATTGAAAATTGTATCAGTGTTAAATAGGGAGAAGGAAAGGGGAAGAAATTAATCAAAACAAACATTGAAGAATCCAATTCAGTGTTCTTTCGTGATGCATAAGAATGAAATTACATATACAAAGGTGAAATAATAAATTGAAGAGCGATGATAAATCAATTCTTTGACGTTGATTGATTGAATAAAAAATAATGAAACAATATGGTCTGAAGGTCATATATCTTCGAATATTGGAAAGTTTCATACACCATCTTGTTGTTGAAAACTATTTGCAATTTAATTTTAATGCGCTGACTTGTCGGTTACGAGCAGAAGGTCATGCAAGCACCTACCTCATAATCCGCCCTTCTATTATTCGAGTTTATAACCATGACAACGAACTCTACCTTTGGCCACGTTCACTATTCCTCTTACGTAACATAGATGTAGATAGGCCTCAGACATAACTTTTTTTCGTATAATCATTCTATATACCGGTAGGTCTAAAATGCTTTCAAATATTTTGTGTCGTTTTTGTTTGTATATACTTTGTCAATATACTTACACACTATTATTGTCAAAATTTGCCAATACTACCAAACTATTACGTTTTCCCTATCATCTTCCGCTCTAGAATCCTATTATTTATTTATTTTTATTTGTTGGGTCCTTTTCATATTTTTCTTGTCTCTCTCTCTCTCTCTTCAAGATTTCTTCTGTTTTTGTAGGGGTATTTATGCTGTTAATTTTTGTATAAATAAACGAGAAATCGTTATTCTTTCTCTTATAATGTTGTCCACCTTCTTCATAGATAACCCTTTTGTGCTAAAGTATAATGTCCGATGTATATAACTTCTGTCAATAACATACAATGAACGTATAATTTCATTTTGATGCAACAGAGATTTTTATTTTTATTTAGGAGTACGTCGAATTGTGATCTCATTTAAAACCTTTGTACACGTCACGCGCGGGTACAGCGTACGACGCATGAGCCTTGGCCTTATATGGTCATTGACGCCTATTCATGGTAACGGGCCTATTATTGAAAAGCTATAACTATTGTGGGTGCAAAATGACCTTGAAGTAGTCAGATAGTCTGTCTTTAGTTCTCCATTTTTAGACTAGGTCTGGAGGTCTAGGCTTAGACCTCGACATTAATTCTCTGACTGTATTCTGCCCAATCACGTCATTCTTTCGACTCAAAATACACCCACAAGTGATCATGCTCTATTCATAGACCTCTCTAGTCATATTCTCATTTATCAGACTGGTGGTACTGCACTGGTCCCTTGTTGTTCACGATCACCTTTGACTGGCCAAGAACCCAAGTTCACCTTATTATAGTTTCAACGCTCCTCTCAGCTCCGTTCCGTCCTTTAATATCTCGCAATCTGACACTATTCACACGTACATCGTCAATCCACGTACCGTACTGTAGAATTGCAATTGCAAGTGTAGAAATCAATTGTCGAATACCAATATAATGTCTCGAAAACTTTAATTTTGAAGCCTTTACTATAACCACATTTCACGTTACTCACGTCGGGTCGATCACAATGTTATTATACAATGATTGCATCCATTCCAATTGTTGTCCAAAACCAAACAAGATCATAAAACGGAAATATGAAGTAGGGAGAAGAGGTTAAAATTCTGTCTTGTTTCCAAGGGTTACTGCCAGTGATTATTCGCGCTTTTCCTCCCCTCAAACTTATTAAATTTTAAAACAGTCAAGAGATGGCGCTCTTGCATTAGTTTGGCATCTACAACTATAGTGGTTGGTTAATTCACTTAATATCATTCTAAGTGTTTATTATGTATTATCTTTTAAATTTGTTGAAGTATTGTACCAATCAACTGCTTTTCCTGTTTCCAGTTAATACAAATCAATTTATTTACTAGTAATATAAATGAATAAACATAAAAATGATTATTCATTAGATTGGCAGTGCTAACTTTCTTCGGTCAAGATTTGTCTACTAGGTTTCATATTTCTTTCATCTCAGCCAACAGATTTCTCGCTCGGCCATAAACGTCGGCAACTGGGTACATTCATAAGTGCAGTAAAGATAAAAACAAAACGGTATCAGGTGTGAATGTAAAATGGTCGAGATGACTAAGGCACCCTAGTCTTATTGCAAGATTTCACTTTCTTAGTTGCCAATAATAATTCTGAAATCATCTTATCGAGTAATGATATGTGAAAGAAAGTGATAGATAATTATCAATTCAGTTTGTGCATAAAATAATTGCCACAGTCTTATAATGATAGCCTAAATTTATCATAAAGAAAGTTACTGCGCATGCGTATTGTGCATATAGCAACCCGTATTTATTAGTCGTCGAGCCAGGTCGAAACACTGCTTTCAAAATTTCTTTACAGCTGACACTGTCATTTAATAGTACATTTGCGTTGGAAAAAGGACACCGGTGATTATATAATTATGACGACGTACAGGGTAATGTTATAAATGTTTTATATTTCTAAATTTTGTTAGCAGAAATTGGTGGAACACAATTTGTTTGTGTGGCAGCCAGTGCAGTGGCAATGCTGTTGGCAGCAGTGCTGAGCTTGAGCTGAGTTGCGCCTGTTCTGTCTGCAGAGCTAGGGTGACTGTGTTTGTGACTGTGTTTGTGCCCGTGACAATCCCGGGTCTGTTGTTATTTGGGCGCTAGTGTAGATTAGTTCCGTATCCATTTTTTTTAGCAGTTTTTTTAAACAGTTTAATATCGATTCTTAGCAAAGGAATTTTAGCCCAACTTTTTACTAGACCCCTAGGCTAGAGGTCTAATTTTAATCATAATCATTGAAGTAAAAACGTGTGGTGAGTAGAATGATGACAGATGAATGATGGCGGAGTTACCACCGTTTTACTTACGGTGCGGTGAAATGTATGAAATGAAGAAGACAAGACAAGACACAGACTAAACAATAAACTAACCTTATATTAGACGTAAAAGGATACAGACTGGATGCTTGTCTAGATGCTGAACAGGCTTTGACAAGTAGCAGAATCCAGAAGTAGAAGTAAAAGCTCAGCTAATTAATGATGCTCAGCTATAGATAGTAAAACCTCTATCCGTCGGAGGGTGACGTCAAGAGGGTGGATTCTCGTCTCTAGGCTGGAAGTTGGTTTCCCATGTGTACTCATCAGCTATCAAGATCTCGAATGACCCGGTGCTTAGGAAGTTGGATCATTGCCGCGAGTCGCGCGCCCGTAAACGGACGATAAACGAATACGTAAGCGCATCCAAGATGCATACATATGTATATGTATATGAAATACCTGCGCTCCGGTAAAATGACCTGCGCCTGGTCACACATGTATCTACGCGTTCACGAATATACAATGAGAGAACTGGCATAACAAATGCCATTTTACAACATAGTCTAGGGTCTATTGCATTTTCCACCTGAATTTGGATTACATCCGACATCGGGAAGCCTCCGTTTAGGGCTTCGATGTCGACGTCGTCGCTCAGTACCGTCTCTGCGCTATAGCTCTGCACCTCAAACTGAAGCTATCAGTCTAAAATTATGCAAACGTAGCGTATGCTTTATGGTATTACGCACATGCACGATACCATAAACTATACGAGAAGCTTGCATAATTTTAGACTGATCGCTTCAGTTTGAGTTGCAAAGCTATAGCGCGGAGACGGTACTGAGCGACGACGCCGACATCGAAGCCCTAAACGGAGGATTCCCGATGTCGGATGTGATCCAAATTCAGGTGGAAAATGCAATAGTCTATATGATTATGATTAAAATTAGTAAAAAATTGGGCTAAAGTTCCTTTGCTAAGAATGGATATGAAACTGCTAAAAAAATGGATACGGAACTACACTAGCGCCGTTATTTGCTGTAGTTGCCTGAGCTGAGAGGCTGTGTGATGAGCCCAGTGAAAGTTGTGTATGAATGATAGTTATAAATTTAAAAAAAAGGTTACTATTTAAGGATGTTTGCAAAATTGGCATGACATTGCCATTGGTCCGATCGGAAGATTATTTTTCCAAAACTCAGATTTGCAAATTAAATGAAAAGATCAAAAACAAGACAAAGTCAGAAATAGTCGAGACATTGCCACTGTGATTGCAAAACTGTCTAACGTTGACATTTGGGGCAGTATCCAGAGCAGAGAATAATTGAAAGAAAGGGAAGATGAAAGATAGAAATGCCCCCCAAATTCCCCCAAATTTCATTTTACCTTGTGCATATCCAATTTATTTTATATTGTAAATTAGGCCTAGGCTATAATACATCGGTTCCACTTACCAACTTGACTGGAATAATCCGTTTTGAAAATTGCGCGACAAAGCACTGAATGTCAATGCATTGACCTAACCTAATACTGGACATTGGGACTAAGTCACAGGAAACAAAGCAATGGGAATTTCAAGTCCTGAGTGAAACCTCCTTGGTCAAACTTGACTTTAAATAAGCTCAAACTAAACATCAGGTTTTTCTTGATTGGAAATTGATTTAAGCAAGGCACATGTAGAAAATAATGCAAGAAGTTGTCAAGAACACACATTTGTTCAAAAGAAAAAGAAAAAAAGTATCAGGTTTGAACTTTGAGGCCATACTTAGTCTTTGTAAAATAAAATTAATTAGAATTCTGTTCTATTAACAGCATCCAGAATGTACAAGTTACATGTGGCTTACTTGTTACTACATTTTGTTGTGATGATTGTAAAATGCTGTGTTTCACCCCTCCTACATGTACTTTTTTCTTGATACACAGCCTGGAGATTCAAAACGTGAGGAGTTCCGCAAGTATCTGGAGAAGGCCGGAGTCTTAGATGCTCTCACAAAGATCTTGGTAGCCCTGTATGAGGAGCCAGAGAAACCAAATGATGCACTAGAGTATCCTTAACAAATGACACAATTTATTTGATTTTTCTTTAGTAGTAACTTAAGCTATTACATCTGACCATAAAAAAGACAAACAAAATTAGATGCAAATTTTTGTGGGATTTTTTTTGTTGTTGTCCAGGCCTTACATTAATCAACGGCCATCGACGGCCAGGCCGTCGATGCACCTATGACTGGCCGTGGTGCCCTCCCAAAAAAAGATAAATTCACGGCCAAAAAGGCCGTGCCCTTTTTTTCAAACTGGCCGACGTGCCTTTTTTTCCAACTGGACATGCCCCTTTTTCGAAATTTGCACTCATAAAACCACCAATTGCGCCCATAATCATCTAAAACTAGACGGCAAGGCGCAAGTGTTTTCCGTGAAAATGCGCCCATAAATTATTAGAAGAAATCACGAACAGTTTGCTGCCCAATCTCCGTGTAAAATTGTATACACAAAAAATCGGTCGTAAAAAAAAAAATCTAACCATATTCCATACCTTACCTGGCTTACCATGTCGCACGCAAGTATACCAAAACACATACATTTTTGCAGTTGCGAGATCGAGTAGGGGTCGAGTAGGGATCGAGTTAGCTGAACCTAGACCACTTATCGCGAAACTGAAATCAATTTCCATCATGATTGCCACAATTTTATAAAGGTTCAATGAATAGAGGTATGAAATTAAAGCCTATTTTGTGATTATTTTCCAACATCGCCATGTTTACGTAATTTTGATAATCATTTCTTCAAAGTAAAGAAAATCAGACAAAATCACCATGACTGACGCTGCGCTGCAGTTAACTCCAGGAGGCTCCAACACCGGCACCGCAGGCGCACGCCTGTGGCGCCAGTGTTGGAGCTTCCTGGGGTTGCGCTGTGCGCTGTGCAGTGTGTGAGTGAGCTGAGTTAGCCGAGCTCGAATCAAAGAGTTTTGACACTTTGAAATTGCTATCTGTTGGTTTGCATCGTTATTGCCGCGATTTCAATATAGTTTCATGAATAGATGTACGAAACCTGAGCTTAGAATTAGTAAAAGTATTACTAGACCCTAATGTCTAAGTTTTTAAACGACTGTCTGATTTTCTTGTGAAAATTTTACTTTGAAAAATGATTATCGAAATTCATGGCCAGAAATAATCACAATCTAGGGTCTATTATGTCACAGTTCTTGCATCAAATCAATGCATGAAAACTTAGTTATTGAACTAGAAAAAGGGGTTTCTTTTTAATAGGCAAATTTTATGAAGCAGGAAGCCTGAAACCTTAGCCTACTAAACAAATCTCAACAAACTGTAGACCCCTTAGGTCTATCCTTTTAATGAATTAATGAAAAAGTAGCCCCAGAAAAAAGAGCCCCCGAAATGGAAAAAAAAGCCCCCAAAAGTTGAAAAAGTAGCCTGAGAAAATTTCCAAAAATTTGAAATGGAGACCCCGAAATGAAAAACTTATCTTTTCCCTGGGTTGGTTAACACAACAATCAAAAAGATAATTTCTTCAAATTTGCTCCTACTACCAGCTACCGAGAGTGTGGCGGAAGGTTTGTGTGTGAGGTGTGATTTCGATTTGGGATACCCGGTAAACTTGCCAAGTCCTTCTGACTTTCGATGTTTGTGAAATTTACAATTTATTTATTCATTTGCTCATCAATATTTTTATTTCCTTTAAAATATGCAAGTTTGATGTTCTTAATCAATCTTTCCTGTTGAAATTGTTGAGCTTAAAAAGTTATTAAATTGATCGTTCTATTCACATAATGAAATTAACATTGTATCTTTGAACTTATAATTAGATTAGGGGCCTAGTCTATCTGTTTTTGGAAAATTGCCCCTGGTTTTTAGGGAATTGCCCCTTGCTCTGGTAAATTCGCGTGGGCAAGGGGCAACTTTAGAAAAAAAATTGCCCCTTGCTCCTGGCTGCTTAATCTAAGGCTTGCAGGGCTGCCGCCAATGTTTGTATGTACCGTAGACCTCTATACATTCTGTGAAGAAGCTGGTGCTAAAAGTCATGGGAAATTGATCCCGCACAAGTTTCATAATAAAATACACATGACATCTAACAAAATAGAATCAATTTTTTTTTTGGCCTCGATGCCCTTTTTGTAAAAATATTTTGGCCTTGGTGCCCTTTAAAATATGAGGTACTTTAAGGCCAAACTGGCCTTGCCCTAAAAATGACGAAATTTAAGGCCTGGTTGTCTGTTTATTATTGTTTTTATAGCAGATTTAAATGTGCTCAATATTTTCCTTCAAAATGGGCTTATTACATTTTGTACATAATGACTGTAATGACTTGCTACTCTTATACATGTATGTGTAAACTTTATCAGCCACTTGAATAGAGTTTTTTTTTATAACATTAACAATCAATTATTTAGTTTGCATCATAGCTTCAGTTTTCTAGAAAACAGTCGTCAGATGGCCCACAAGGCCAACATTGTCAGTCTCATGGGATGTCTTGTATCTGAGCAAAATTTAGAACTCCAATATCAGTAAGAAAAATAATAATCATTCATACCAAATACAGATTATACAGTGTAATTTTTTTTACCACACACTTCAATGTTGGGTTTGAGTCTTATTGAATCTTAGTGGAGCCAGTGGGTCCACAAGTGAATTTTATTGAACCCAATTCTAAGCATTTTTGAAAAAGATTGAGCGGAGATTGAACTGACTTGAATGCTCTGCGGTGTCTTTGAATGATTTAAAGTAGAAATACAGTCAAACCTGCTTTAGTGACCACCTGTCTACATAGACTAATTGTCTACAACAAGCACATTTTTTGTTTCCCTTGAAAATGGTGTCTCATTGAAACATGTACTGAAGGAACCTGTCTACAGAGACCACCTGTCTACAAAGACCACTTTTTTGTGTTTCCCTTAGGTGGTTGCTGTAGACAGGTTTGACTGTCTGTGGCAATAGAAAAAATGATGTGAATGATCACAGTTTGGAGATATGTTTTGCAGGGCCCCCAAGCATAACAGTATTTTAAGTACTGATGGGGCTACCCTGTTGAAATAAAATGAAATAAATAAAATAAAAAAATATAAATAAATAAACAAATCTAACATCTCCTTTGTAGACCTTAACTTGACATTGCTAACAGCTTTCTGAAAGCTCACATGGGACAGGGTGGACCAGACACGGCTGATGTAGAATCCTTGAGACTACAGGTCAGCGAACTCATGCAGAAGGTAGAACGGCTACAGGACGAGAACAGGGAACTCAAGGCAAAGGTGAGTAGTACTGTGCATCATGATTATCAGCTGCTTTTGACAATTTTAAAGCCCCTCTGCACTAGTTTGGCCAGGAGGGATAAAGACCTCCTTGCATGGTCACTGACAGGTGGTTATCTCATCAAATCAGCCCTCCAAAGGCCTCCATTAACATTAGAAAAAGGGGACCATGGGGGACCAACAGGCACCAGTTAGGCATTGTTTGCTATATAGAGGGCACAAGTAGCTATAAGTAGTGCAGTGGGGCTTTAAAGGGGCGTTTGTTGTGCCCTAATGAGCCATCCGATGCAGACTTCTCTGGCAGGAATTTTTTTTTACCAAATAGAGTGAACAATGTGCATGTGGCATCCGTGGGGTAGTTTTGAGGACAAAAGCAAACTGTCACTTCAGAAGTTCTTTCTCTTATTGTGGCTGACATTTTGAATTGGTAAAGGGATTTTCTGGTAATGATAATGGCCAACGATGAATACTGGGATTTCTGAACGTGTTGCATGAAATAATTCCTGATTCTTTAATAAACTAAGAGGATTAGATCATCATAACAATGTCCTGCGAGTCATGCAAGAACTTTTTATAACCTTATTGTAAAATGAAGAAACTAAAGCACGTTTCTTACATTGTAAGCAACAAACCAAGAAATTAGTGGCTAAAGCATTAGTCTTAATACGCTGATATAGCTGACTCAAATATTATACAAATATACAATGACACTTGAGGATCTAGCTGAAACTATTCGCATCGAAGGAACATCAACTAGTACTATTCTCCCGAGGGCCATCGGCCCGAGGGAGAAAAGTACTAATGATGTTCCTGAGTGCGAATAGTTTTAGCTTGTTCCGAGAATGAGTCATTTTATATTTGTTTTATATCCCTTCCATCTGTATTATTCCTTGTACACTTCTGTAATAACATGAACCTTATACTCACATTCACATCTACATTCAGATCGAAAAGAAAGAAAGAAAATTGCACGGCTCAAATGAAACATTGAAGGATGTAAAAAATGTTTAGCTGGCGCAAGTGTAGTGCAGTTATCGCACAGTGTAAATTGTATATGGCTTGAGCTAGCGCCGTGACACCGCGGGGGTTGACCGCGCAGAGGCATTTGAAATCATGTACGCGCTCGCTTGGAAAACGCATAGTTCAAGAATATGCGTTTTTGTATTGTGACGTCACGCATAGTACCTTTTTTCCCTAGGGAAAAAAAGGTACTATGCGTGACGTCATCAATAAAAATGTACTATTTCGAACTAGTCGGCAGGAAACGTCTTTTACAGTCAAACTATTCTTTTTCTTGTTGTGTACACACCTAATGCAACAATCTTACGATAATGGATATAAAAGTATATATTCTTCAATAAAATCATACTACCTAGATGGATAAAAAGACAGACACTTTTGATTTTTAGTAACTCAAAAGTCAATACATCCTTCAATGTCAAAATGTGCAAATCTCGGTCTTACTTTGATTTATGAAAAAGAATAATTCATTTTAAAATTTATCCAACTGTTACCTATAGCGATGAGAGTGTTCATGTGATTTAAAAGCAGATTATTATTTTTATTTCTTTATTATTATTTTCCACCATTCGATTATTACACACCATTCTTCATGTATTGTGTCCTCTTCCTATTGAATACAGGTCCAGATGGAAAATCCTGAGGTTGAACCAAATCCAGAGAACTGAACTGTTACTGGACCTACATGTAGCGGTGATAGACCCGGGAGGGGGTTGGGTGGGGTGAGGATGGAGGAAGGGTGGGGGCTGGGTGGATGTACATAGGGAAAAGTTGTAGAGTTATCATGTGTTGCCTTTAAGAATCGAGTCTTTGATATTTTATGTGTGTGTTTTATCAAGTATACAGCCTTTATATGTTATTCACCAACCCTTGACCGTTTCACAAGCAAGATTGAGAATCGTCTGTTAATTACAGTCTGATACCCATGATTGATATGACTAGTAAAATGTCCTTTTTTCCTTCTCAAATATCAGAGCAGATATGTAAGTTCATCACCATTTAGATAAATGTTCTCCTGAAATATGTATGGTGCCTAACTATATATCCACATCATACCCATAATTCATACAGAAAGTTTTTTTTGTAGAGGTGTCGTTGTCTAGTAGAAACGTCTCCGGACTGTGGATCACATGGTTCGCAGTTCCAGTCCTGCCGAGGCACTAATGTCCTTTGGCAAGACATTAATCTGCATTTGCGACTCTTGAATTCTTGAAATCCTTTTTTTTTTACAGTTTAACCAAATTTACTTACAGTACTGTGACTACAGGTAATTTAAAATTTCTTAATTATTACACGATACTGATTTATTACAGAATACCTATGACTTGATTATAGAACAAGTGTATCGGTTTCACTGAAATTACAAGAGAAGCAGATGGCCTTTTACATGTCACACTCTTTTTATATCCTTCTGCTCAAGGCTATATTGCAACTGTCATTTTCAATTAAAGAAGAAAATTTGAACAGTATGGAAAGTTGGAAACTTAATTTCAGTTTAAAAAATATAGGAAGAAATTTGTAATTTCATCCCATTTTGCTCTTCCAAAATAGCACACAATTTTATGAGAAGTGCAAAAGTTACACCTCTTGCTCAAATTTTCAGTTAAAGTTAAGGGTTTGTATTACATGTATGTTTCTTGGTTTATTTTTACATTCCATGTGCATTGTACATTTTTTAAGGTCATGAAAAATAATCATAAGAAGTATTCTGTATTTTTCAAAAAGGCAGAGGATAAAAAAAGTATGATAGTATATTTTGAGGGTATGTTCTACTACTGATGTGTCTTGCGGGTCGACTTTGTATGTAAATGTGTATTTATTGTATCGGGATAGAGCGAAGTGATATTGCTTAATACATGTACAGCTGTTGGACATATCGATATGAAGATATAGCTTTGCACTTTTGATTTTTGTAAATGCCTTGTTTTGGAAAATACAAACCCTGTATGAAACCTTAACATTGATTTGATTGGTCATTTAATATACTTGTATTGTTTTGTGTTCTCATATCATTTGGTGGCAACCATTTGCAGGTGAATGCTTATTTTTTGTTTGTCCGATTGGGTTTGCTGGGGGAAAAGGATGAAATAATAAGACTGGTATGATGCAAGATAGTTCTGATAGTGGGTGAACAATGGTGAACTATGTGTGTAATTGATTGTCCAACATATGCTATGTGGTCAGTTTCCAGCACTAATCAAATGTTTACCTTTAACCCTGGGCCCTGTTTCATAAAACTAGTTATCAATAACGAGTGCTAAATTTCTATGACAAATTTGTTCTTGGCCAATCCAATGCCACGATTTCAGTAGCTTATAACAGTTATCGTTGCTTTTTATTAATAACAAGTTTTATGAAACGGGGCCCTGGACCTAACATGATTATAAATTATAACCCCAGCCGCAATGTTATAATTATATCTGACAACATAAGGAGTGGAACTGATGTTGGAAAAAACGTCGTTCATAATTCATGTGGCCGTAATGAATGTTCATTGGTAAAAACAGAGTGGGATATAAAGAATAAGCAGAGAGTGAAAGCAGAGAGTGAAAGAGAGAGAGAGAGAGAGAGAGACGGACATACAAACATACAGAGAAAACTAGGAGAGAGATAGAAAGAGTGTGTGTGTGAGATAGAGGAAACACTTTTCCAAAGTGAGAAGGATGCGTCTGTAACCTTATTGACAGGGGGCGGATGGTTTACCAAATTAGCAAATGCTATATTCAAACAAGCACAAGTAAAAATATGACAAAAAGAAGGAAAAAATGAACAACTACAGAGTAGAAAAGGAATAAAAAGGGTAAAAAAGAAATACATTTAGAAATAGAAATTTAATTCATTTTTTTTCTCGGGGGGGGGGGGGGGAGGAGGAGGAGGAGTCACGTCCCCTATCCCCTGTATAAGTACCCCTTGATATCGATACATCTACCAGGAAATCCCTAAAGAAAACATGATTATCGTCTGTTGAGAGCCAGAAGGGCATTAATTCATTGACTTATGTATAGAGTTATTCAGAGCTGCCAACTAGTACGGATTTCCCGTAATTGGTACGGAAATTAACGACCATTACGGAATGTTGTCTCAAATTACGGATTTAAAAAAAAAAAAAAAAAAAAAAAAGATTTTTTTTTTATTTTTTTTTTTTTTTTTTTAATGAATTAAATATGATTTATCGTAGCGAGTGCTGTGAATAGGAGCCATTTTTCATGATAAACTGTGTTGTGATGACCTGAAATTCAATACTTAACATCTTTGTGTGAGTAAAATCACCAAAAATTTCAGATAATCATGCGTCCGCGCAGTGTTGGCGTGTCGTTTTTTTAGATTCATAGCGCCGCATAAGAAATTACTGATTTATACCCCAAATTACTGATTTTGAGCCTTGTGATTACTGATTTTCTGTTCTGGAGGTTGGCAGCTCTGGTTATTACCTTTCTGGCTGTCAACACACGAAGTTAAGGAGGCAGTATAGTCAGATAAGTGCAATGCAAAGAAACTATTAGATTTGTTTTTAAATTAGAAAGTTGAAAATTGTTTCCGGGTTACATAATATATATAAACTGTTTCCCTGGACTTTGGGAACACTCTAATTCGTTTTTGAAGTACCTCCAAAGTGCCCCTTTTACTTCTGATAAGTGCCTCTTTTATTTGTAATTAATTAGTGTCAATTTCAACTGTCTTGTAAATGTCCCTTTTCAAGTGCCTTCTCACTTCCTTAAAAGCCCTTATTCAAATATGACAAGTGTCCCATTTTATTTTGACAGGGGCCTCCTTTTCTCTCTAGTGCCCTAGTTTTTTCTTCAAAATCTAATAAGTGCCCCTCTTTACCTTTTGATAATTTTCCTATTTCCTTTCCTATAAATGCCCTTTTTGATAAGTACCCCTTTAACCTATAATTCCAATGTGCCCTTTAATTTACAGTCATCCAAATTAAGAGCGATATATTACTTCAGAGAATCGGAGGAGCTTTGTGTATAACGTGTAGGCCCTACCGTATTAAGTATGCACCACAGTATAAGGCAATGAAGCCGGTCATGGGGGGGGGGGGGGGTAAAATACCCAAATTTCATTAAAAAACGAACTGTACCCCTAGAACTGCTGTCGTTTCCAATGCCCCTTCCCTAGATAAGTCTTTTTTTTTAAATATGAGAAACACTTATATACGTGTACCCATAGCTATCACGACATATTCTACTGAACTGCTATTAAAGCGGGGTGAGAACACATTATACAATTCTGTGCCAAGCAAGAACATTATTTTTACATTATTATTATTATTGTTGGTTTTTGTTTGTTTAGGGGAGGTGCCCCTTGGATCCACAACTGCCTTTTATTGGAAGCAATATGTTTACATTCGAGCTCAAAGGTCATTCGAATAATCTATTATCTCAGTCACACCGCCAAACCGATTCCACACCGACCCCTACACCGACTGGTACTTGGCTATTCATGATTTGATGGAAATATAGGCCTATCATAATAATCATATGATCATACTTTGGTCTGTTGTAGGACGTGTAAGTCTGGCTGTACGTGGTATCCAGCTGCTTGATCACGAGTTATACTCAAAAATCAATGAGGAAATGATCACTGTCTTGTTGGCCTACTGTTGCTAGCCCATAATACTGTTTCATTTCTTCATTTTTAAACAGTAAATATGGCAGGAAAGACGTTATTTTGTGTCATCTGCATGGTATACCTATATCTTGGGTGTACAACAGCAACCGGTGAGTTATTCTCATCAATCATGATTAAGTGGGTGAAACAAAATGCTAGTTTTTATATCTTATAACTGAAATTTGATTGTTGAATTAGCTTATTACACAGTGAAAGACCGAGTTTACCGTAAGTATTTTTTGGTCAAATCTGATTAAGGCAAATCATATCACCTGAAGACCTATAATTATCAATCATCAAACGGTGTGACAACTGTCCTATTTAGCAATATTCTTCGACTCTGGTAAAGTTTTGATCTACTGTGGATATTTTGTACAGCAAACGCCTGATCTTAGTGACCAAAACTGAATGATAGTGATTTGCAAAATGTGATTATCTGATTTATGAAAGATTTTACCATTTTGTTAAACAAATTGAAGAGTTCCTCATAATATGACATCGTTATAGACAGACAATGAGCACTAATTTCGGAAAAAGGTAGGAAAGAATATAGCTAAACTATTTCTACCTTGGAAAAGAAGTTATGTTGTATCAGACGATCATTGGGCACACGTACCTTTAAGTTATCAATGAAATCAAAATGTAATCTTACTCAATTTTTTTAAAATTTGGATTAAAAGTTTACATTCCGAAAGCTTATTGAATTAGACCATAGGCAGAGGTCAAGTGCTAATATAATTTGTTGGTTTAATTATCATTTCAAAACAGTTGTGAGGAATTGTGAGGGAAACCCTCTCTCTCTATCTTGCCCCTCTGGATCTGTGCTCAGCATCATCAGCGCCAACTATGGTCGGACAACTGGACCAGAAACATGTCCCCATAGCAGCATCCAGACAACTGATTGTTACGCATCAAATTCAATGAATATTGTCGGCAACCTCTGTAATGGACAGACAAGGTGCACCGTGGTTGCAACAAATAGTGTCTTTGGTGACCCTTGCGTTGGTACTTACAAATACCTTGAGGTCAACTACACATGCCAGAGAAGAAACGACATAATTCCAACGGAACCCACCTGCGAAAATAGATCGTACTGCACCACGGAACGCACCTGTGAGGGGAGTTCCCTGTCTTTATCTTGCTCTTCTGGATCTGTAGTCAATATCATCAGCGCTAACTATGGTCGGACAACAGGACCAGAAACTTGCCCACATAGCAGCATCCGGACGACTGCATGCTTTGCATCAAATTCTTTGAACATGGTCGGCAACATCTGCAACGAACAGACAAGCTGTACCGTCCTAGCTACTAATTCTGTGTTTGGTGACCCATGCGTCGGCACATACAAGTATCTTGAAGTAAAGTATACCTGCAAGCCCGGACCCGTAAGCAATATGAAACGAATCTGCGAAGGGGGTTCCATCAACCTAAGCTGTCCTTCACACACTCCGGTTATTGTCATATCCAAAGCCATGTATGGTCGCCAGGTTCCTGGATCGGATTTCTGTCCTCATAGTAGCATCCAAACAACCAACTGCGCCGCTCCTAACTCTCTCGCTACTGCCCAATCAGCCTGCCAAGGCCTGTCTGTTTGCACGATGGCTGCCTCCAACCAGATCTTCAGTGATCCCTGTGTAGGTACCTACAAGTATCTAGAGATGGAGTACACTTGCGCTCGCAGGGGTCGTGTCTGCGAGCATAATATTCTTGACATCGGTTGTCCATCAGGACAGAAGATCGTGGTCCTTGACGCATTCTATGGTCGCATGACAGGCCCGGACATCTGCCCTCATCCTCAAACCTCAAATCAGAATTGCCGTGCATCGTCCTCTATTCGCATCGTGAAGGACAAGTGCAATGGCCTGTCCTCCTGCACAGTGACTGCCAGCAACGTTGTCTTTGGAGATCCTTGTGTATATACCTTCAAGTATCTAGAAGTACTCTACAACTGTAAGCAAATATAGACTGTACTTTAAACGATATCTTACCACAAAAAAAAATGAGGGAGGGGGCGCTTATGACCACTGTTTATCATTCATATTTCTATACATGGAAACATTTCTCATCGTTATGTAGACGATAATTCTACAGTTAAAATCACGGAGTAAAATGTTGTAATGCGATTGTATCCGATGCAGTTCTTTTTTTAATTTTTTTTATAAACGTGTACTTTTCCCCTTGAAAGTAGTTTAACGTATACATTGTGCATTATTGTGCGTATGTAATGATTATATTTATATTTTTAGTATTTGAAAAATTATAAACTTTACCAAGAATCAAGTGCTTTTTCACTTGATATCAGTGATGGTTTGAAGTTACAGCGAATAAAAGCAACAATTCGTTTCCAGAATAGTATTATCTTTTGGCATTCTAGCCAAACATGAACAGACGATACGGTAGCTTTGCAAAGAGCACACTAATTGTCACTTACAACTTTCCATTTATATAGATTTGACCTGAATGGTAAAATACGATGATGTGCTTTAAAACTGATTTGTTTCACTTTACTGTTTTCGATACTTTGAACTTAATATATTTTTTCTAGGCAAATCGATAGGAAGGTTAAAATGTTCTTTCCAATGTCTTAATACAATTGGATTACTTGTCTTGAATTCACACAATAAGCTATACAAACATTTTGACTTTATATTGTTGACAATCTAATAGCATCACTAAAATCATTTAACTAATAATTATTTTATATATATATAGTTTTTTTCTCAATATATTTAAATCCTCTTACTGTTATTATTAATAATTACAGTGCTTATATAGCGCCTAACACTTGCTTTGTCAGAAGTCTCTAAGCGCTCTACAATAATGCAGCATAATCCTCATCTATTGTTGTTGAATGCATTCATAATCATTAATAAATCCTTCTAATGAATAATGTCGTTGAATATTTGTGGAATTCTCAGATAAGATACCAATGAAGAGAGAAATATTAAATATAAACAATCTAAACTTAGATGAGGATTTCTCTAGTGCTTAATTGTAGATATTTTATGACATGCCTTTCATTTCTAAATCAAAGTTGAGAATCTGACTAGAACTAAATTGTAGACATTTTAGGTAAGCTAGTGCCTTTCATTTTAAAAACAAAACATCTTTACATCGTTTTCACATGTTGTTTTTAATTCTGGATATATCGGATAATGCTGTTGACATTTAAATACCATACGCTTTTGTTCTGGATAAGGAACAATATATTAAATTGCTTTGAGATATTCGACTTTGACCTAATGATTGCCAATTTTAATGTGATTCCTCTTGTACAAACTTTTATCGTGACCTTAATTATAGAAGGTCATGATCATGATCATGAGTTAAACCAATGGTGTAATAAAATTGACAGTCGGGAGTCCCCAATGCCTCTTTTGTTTGTATTTCGTATTTTATTGATCCTTTTCATTTCGAATGAAACATCACTTACAGTGGCGGATCCAGGGAGGGGGGGGGGGGGTGAATTAGCCGGGGTGGGGGGGGGGGTGAATGAATTTAAGTTGAAAATAGAAATTAGAAGCTCTCCATCTCTCAATGTCTCCAAATCGAAATTAAAAACACAATTGTTTAATTGAAAGATTCTATTTTGTAGAATTGAGTTTTTAAAAAAGAGCTCTAAACCAGCGCAGCTGAATATAATTTGTATAAAAGCTGCGCTATATTAATTTATTATTGTTATTAATAATGTTCCTAAATTTACCTGAGTCAAGAATATAATTGAAATTGAAAATATTAAAAAAGAAAGCAACTGCGGAAACCTGAATAATCAAAAATTGTTGTACGGCATCAGTGACAGAGCTTCGAGTCACTTTTCTATCTTTTCTTTTCATTTGACTTTTACATAATGTTGTTGTAGTATTGTAGGCCTATTTCTTTCATTCTGTTGAAAATTTGACTACAGTCATAATCTCATAGCTAGACTATTGGATTAAAAGAAAAATCCCTTTCCCAACCTACTCAGCTGCAGCTTTCAGATTACGTGTCAAATATAATGATACTGTGACTGTTTATACATAATAATTATGCTTTTGCAACTTATTTGCGATTGATATAAATCGCAACTATGTACATAAGAGATAGGAGACTGCAACCTTGCGATTGATCTTGTATAATCATATAAACACATTTTTGTTTTCAATGCTACCTTTATAGAGCACTTGATCTTTTCTTCTATGAATTGTCGCCCAAGATCGAAAAATGAGCCTTATACGTTTGGTTTTACAAAGCCATTATTATGTCCTACAATATAGATAAAAAAATAGATGATTAATATTATGAGGTAAAAAGGAAGTCTTTTTTTTTTTTTTATTATTCTTTTCTTTCTCCCTTTCTACTTTTTCTTCTGTTATTTTCTTTCCCCCCTTTTCATTATTGGCCGTAACAATTTCGAGGCAGAAAGCCTCTTCCTCCCCCACCCTCCCGCCAGCGTCAACCCCCCCCCCCCCCCACGAGAGTTCCGGACCCTGGCCGATATGTTTTACATTATTAGCAGCTTGGAAAGAGGTCGCGTACATTTAGACTTTGATTATTTCTTGTTTTGCCTTACTATTTATAAAGGCAAAACATAAAACTGAATAAATACTGAAATTGGAACCCATAACTCCAACGTTGCTTTACGCTGTTCTTACCGATTGGGCAAACGACGGGGTTTATGAACGGTGGGTTTGCATGATTATCATAACCCTATCTATAACCCTAACGGTTACCATGTGCACATGAAGAGCTTGATTCCAAAAGGAGCTAAATCCATATTTTTTAAAAACTGAGTTTTTTGTCTTAAAATAATGGTGTCCTACATGGGGACAAAATGCACTATATCACATTCTAAAATTTTACCAGGAAGTATGAAATTTTTTAGTTACAATATCATGTTTCATTCCAAAAGGAGCTAAATCCAAATTGGTTTCATTCCAAAAGGAGCTAAATCCAAATTGGTTTCATTCCAAAAGGAGCTAAATCCACTTGTGAGTAAATCACCTTGTTTGTTTCTCCACTTTCCCTTCAGCCATGGACCTTCATGTTGTTATTTATGTTAAAGGTGTCGCCCTGGACCAATAATATATAATAAGAAATAAAATGTACCAGTTATTTCTGATTTTTTTCTAAATTATTGAAATTTGTGGATTTAGCTCCTTTTGGAATGAAACATGGATTTAGCTCTTTTTGGAATGAAACGGATTTAGCTTCTTTTGGAATGAAACTGTAAAATGTTGTTTACTTTCTTTTCAAAAGGTATTTTTAGATGTGAATTCACTGTAATTATTTAAAAGGAAAGGTTTGATACTAAATTAAAATAAATTTCAGTCACTTTATTGAGAAAATATTATAAAATTTCACAAATTTTAGGTACAATATCCTGTTTCATTCCAAAAGGAGCTAAATCCACGAAAAATAAAAATCTAAAAATTAATAAAAAATCAGAAATAACTTCTAGATTTTTTAAAATCATATATTATTAGTCCAGGTTGACACCTTTAACATATATAACAGCATGAAGGTACATGGCTGAAGGGAAAGTGGAGAAATAAAAAAAGGCGATTTACTCAGAAGTACCCAAAGTGGATTTAGCTCCTTTTGGAATGAAACTCTTCACATGCGCACGTTTAGCTAGCTAGCTAGACTCTTCTGATTAGATGCAAATGAGCTCATACCGGGGTCCGGAACTTATGTGGGGGGGGGGGGGGGGGGGGGGAAGGCTTTCTGCCCCGAAATTGTTACGTCTCCCGCCAGTGGTCTTGCTTGGTTATTAGCAAGTAACAAAGACTGGTCGCACAATTAAACAGATTTGCATAACAGAGCTTGCGATGGACAAGAGAATGTTAAGCTGCTTTTTAAGATGACATTCTTTCAATTGACTCTTATATAGTCCAGTGGACATGTTCAATACAAGTGTCTATAAGGACATAATCTGGTATTGAACCAACCATCTTTACCGATCAGGGACCCGTTTCACAAAGCCTTTTTTCAATGACAAATGACTAAAAATCAGTGACAAATCTGCTGATAACCAATCAGAAGCAAGGATTTCAGTAGCTTATAACAAAAACTGTCATTTGTCACTGATGACATGTTTTGTGAAACACCCCCTGGTACCTGATCTCACAGTTTTGTGTAATGAACAGTACCTCATCTTCGGCTCTGTCTCACCTACCGGATTTAATTTCTAATATCTACCAGCAATGCCTGTTTTGATAATATGGGTTCGTATCAGTTATATAATTATGTTATCTTGGGTAAGAGTGCAGATTTCTGTTATGTTTATATTAGTGAATGTTATCCTATAGATAGCCTCGTAAATGTGTGAGTGGTATATTTTGTGTTCGGATGCCCAATTTCAAAGTTTATGAATGATTGTTTGTAGCATAGTCATATTGACGGATGTTTACATTTGATACGATTGACAGATGATAATCTTTGACAGAGCCTGGTTATAAGGAATATTGTCATGTTTAATGACATGTCGTTATTTCCTTAGTTCTCAACAATTTCGGCGCCAGAAATGTGGCGTCATTCTACGCATTAAATGTGCTGTACAAAGATGGAACGCGCAGGTAATGTTCACTGTGCAGAGTACGATCACTGTATATCCAGTTCAATGGCGTTCAGTCTGTTTCATTTTGAATAGCTTGTATCCATATTCATGATACATTTGAATTTATCTATATCCACTTTAAAAAAAAAAAACTTCCATAGAGATTGCATTTGATAGTTTCTTATACCAAACAAATTAAAAATGCCTATTCCCACGTAACCAATTGAAAAGTTGTTTTGGTAAATAAAGCCTCTCTATTTAAAGCTTGATTTTTGTGGTCAAATGTCGTTTTGACTTTAACATTTCCCTCTTCTTTATTGTAATCGAAAAACAAAGTTATTGACTCAAAGCAGGCTTAATACAATTAAGTAATAATTCCAGGCTGGGAGGCGGTGACCAGTCAACGAAAAGCCCTGTAGGTGAACGGCACGCCTAGTCAAGTTTTTTTAATATTTGTTTATTATCATTAATTTTTAAATGGCATTGTTCAACAAAGGGAGTATTTCTTTTAATGTACATATTAGGCTTTAGTATAATAATAAGTGTAGGTAATTACTGGCTGGGAGATGGTGACCTGTGAATGATGAGCCTACCGGGCCCTGCCCCTTAAAT